ACTCTCTCTCTCTCTCTCTCTCTCTCTCTCTCTCTCTCTCTCAGTGTGTGTGTGTGTGTGTTGCAATCATATTGCATAGGGCACCTAAGCAGACACCTAATAGGCCTCCGCCCAGGGCAGGACACGAAGGCAGGCCCCTAACAGGTCTCCACCCAGAGCATGGAATTACTGGCAACATGGGGCACCGAGAGCCTCTAACAGCCAGGTGCAGATTTCTAAAACACTGGCACTGCCCTTTCTTATTTCTTAAATTCTCTCCAACATCTTTAAAGACATTTCATAAGACACGAGATGTTTTGATATGCTGTAAATGAGAGAAAATATGGCTTTGTTGCATTGGACATGGATACTTGTGTGAGTTATGGGATGGTGTCCAAGTCCTCGTGCAATGAAAAACAAGATTCAGCAAAAGGGCCATATTACTAGTAGATTTGTGTGCGTAGCACATTATTAGAAAAGATTATGGTTACTCCCTACTTTAATCAAATAGTAAGCTTAAAATTTTAAGCATTTAATAATTTAGAATAAAAATCTAAAAATTGCTTATAAACTAATTCAAAATAATAAAAAGTTTGAAATGGTGACATCAATTTTCCTAGAGAAAATATAAAAGTTATTAAAAGAAAAGAAATCAATCATATTTAATTGGAAAACTCTTAAAAATTTAGGGTTTAAGAAGATTAACAATTTTAAAACCAGCTCATTTTTGTCTTAAATACAAACATTTTGGTAGCTATACAAAGCATTTTATTGGAAGCACTAACATCCTAATAAAAATTTGTTCTATTTAAAATTCAAAAAATAAAATATAAATAATTTGGAAGCATTAAAGTTCAATAAAAATATAATGTAATTTATGCATATGGCTGGCAACAGGCCAGGCCTGGGCTGGCGAACCATGGCCCTAGCCCGGCCCTAGTCCCCACAAGCCAGTCCTAGCCCTCTTAAGAAATATATAGAAGAATTTATAGAAAGCATACATCTTGACTAACTTCAACCTTAATTTGCAGTGAAGGAAAGAGAGTATAAATTCTATCGACCAACTCAAAGTCAACTATTCCAAATCATAAGAAACATGTAATAAATAAACCACCGTAAAAGTATGTAACAAGAAATTACAAAAAGTATAAAATAATCATATTATAACCCAAATAAAACATCATAAAAAATTGACATAAAATAAAACAATTTAATTCCATCCAAAAGAACAAAAAACAGCTTTTCAAACGGCTCAATTGATGGCTGGGGAAATATGGGAAGACAAAGAGAAGACAAAAAAAATAGAAGAAGCTACTTTTAGTAGAGGTAAAATGAGCTATATATAACGTCTAAATTGATAATCATGTTTAGTAAAGGCATATCACCTCCATATGAGTAAGAATAATTTATATTCCTAGTTATTCATCCCCAAAATTTGGGGATTTGTTTGAAACATAAAAATTTTAAATTTGTCCTTAGGACTCCTTACGCAAAATAACTTAATTCCTTATAGGTGGACTACATGATCGGGCAAGTCAATACCAACTAAAGGTTTTCTATCTTATTGTATTGCCAACCGAATCACTCACAAGTATCCAAATACAATATAAATCAAACAAAATTGCCAAAAACTCTCACTTGCTTACCATTAAAGCAAAATACATTTATAATACAGATCTGGAAATAAAGGATGTAATGGAATTAAGATAGCATAAACCAGGAGAATACCTTATACCTTGCCTCAAGTTACCCCCAAGGACTTCATACACCCCACACCGGGTCCCCTCCACTAATGGCACACAGGATCTTGATTCAAGATCTCATCTCACAACTTGGGAAACCTAGCAACACCAGTAGAGAGCATAAAATGGGAAATCCTTGACCAAGGCCCAACGCATGAGCATAAGGCCAAGACTAAGGGCTAGGCTATGTGGCCAGAGCGTGCCACCCCATGGCTTAGTATCCCTTCCTAAACCCTGAAGTCTAAAGAGAGGAGAGATATTTTTTAGAGTAACATGCCACTCCTTAAGGCTTAGAGAGAGAGAAATGTCAAGTCTAGAGAATGAACGCGCCCATAGTTAGTTTGTATAGAACAAAAGTTAGGGTTTCTAGGGTTAGGATTTTGCCATCATTATGAGATTTAATCTTGACTTTTGATCTTTGAGACCTATAGGGTGAAGAGATCTTATGCATTCCTTCTTTAGATCAGCCATCATGATTAAAGAAATGAGGTGGAACCATTATCCCTCAGTTTTCATAACTCTATTTCCAACAAATATTGTGTAGAGAAAGTAATAAATCTATTCTAATTATTTTCTTACACTTCCCCTTTTTGAAAACAATCAAAATCTCTACACAAAACATTTTCCTAAAAACTCAAATCAACCTATGACGTAATTGCCATAATTCAAAATAGGAAAGTTTGGAGGAGGTGGAGCGTACCACCAACGGGGTTGCCATGTGGGCCCCACACCCCATAATATGGTGGGCCCA